AGGGAACCTTTTGTGGGTTGGGGGCTGGTGGCCCACAGAAAAATCAGTTGGGGACTGCACATAAGTGAGAAGCACCCCCCCCAAAAGAAAGAGAAACTGCTCACTGATGTAGCCCCCTGACTGAGGAGAAAGAGACACTCCAAATTCCTCTTCAATACCAGAGCCTAAGGGGGCCCAGGCTCGGAGATTTTATGTGCCTCAGCCCTGTGGTGGGGGGCTGGTTCTCCAGCGCAGGCTCCCCAGTGCTGGGGAAGAGAGCTCTGAGCTTCAGGGGCTGCTTTCAGCCCCCAGGCCTTAAGTTTCCCACCCCTGCCTTAAATGGCATATACCTACTCTGACCCCAGGACAGTGTTGATTTTAAATGCGCAGTCTGGTTGTACCCATAAAGCGCTGAAATGTCCTGGAAATTCCAGTATTTTGGCAGGGGAGAGGAGAGGCTTTGCAGGGAGGAAGCGAGCCAGAAATGGCTCCACACTCTGCCCTTTCCTTTCCCCTGCCTGGGGGAAAAGCCTCACAAAGACGCACTGCCTAGAGACTTTCCCCTTTGCTCCCATGGGATATCATCTGGCCCATGGAAGCCAAATGGAAAGCCTCTAGGAAGTTGGTCCCTGAAAAGATGTTCCTGCAGCTAGGGGAAGGGACAGGGCAGTGTGCATAATCTGGCCAATGGGAGCAGTGGAAAGCCATGCATGTCTGAAAGGGGTGTGAAAACAAGTAAGTGGTCCTCTCCACCTCCCACGCAGAGATCTCGCATCTTCAGCCTGCTCACGCACCACCCTGCTGACCCCTTGTGCCCCAGCCTGCTTGCTTACCACTTTCTCACACGCCCACCTTGCTCATTCACTGCCTTGCTGAATGGGCTCTTTTGTGCTGTGATGGGATAATCCTTTGTGTCCCAAACCCCTCCCGATTAGTAGAGGGGGGGGAAGGAGCAGTTCTTAGAGGAGTCACACAACCTGCTTCCAGACTGCTCACTAGGGATGTTAAATAACTATTCAATTAACCGATGAGTAACCTCATGAATTATTATTGGTTACTCGACTATTCTATAGTCCCGGGGACGTGGCTGGCAGTCAGTGCACTCTGGCCCCACTCCCGACAAGCCCCCTGCCACTATGCATGGAGTGCTAAGTGGGAGCTGGCCCACAAGGAAAGCCAGTTTAAGAACCAGCTCCCCTCATGGCCTGGCTGCCTGTTGCCCTGTGCTACTGTCTCTGATACAGTGGTGACAGCAGCCCCTTTCCAGGGAGAGAGGACAATCTCAGCTCCTGGACCCGGTGTGAGCCAGAACTGTGCCGGGCTGCCTGCCTACCTCCTAATAACATTTTAAATGCAGAGCCACAGCGGTGGTAGGTCCTGGACTTGTCACAAGCCAGGACTAAAAGAGGCTGTTGGCTAGCCTGCTAAAAAATTTATGAGCAGGGAGAGGGGGAATTGTGTGTAGGCTATGGCATTAACCTATTAGCTTTTGCTTATTGGTTATTTGGTTAATTGACTGCTCAATTACATCCCTTCTGCTCACCCCGCCCTGGCACTCTCTCCTGATTGGTCAAATCTGCTCTCGGGGTGGTTCTATGGGGCCTAAACCTATCCTTATTGGTAGAGGGTAGTGGGAGGTGTTCTTAGAGGGGTCATGTGACACACTTTACTTCCAGTCATGAGCCCATCTTGACCTTGGAAGTACTATCCCAGGGATGGGACTTCCTGTGGCAGGTGGGCAGGGCCTTAGGGCTATGGGGGCATAGCTAACTGGGTCAGGGGTGTGGCTAACACTAGATATGTCCCCATTTTTAATGGTGGGCCTGGATTGTCATTCAGATCTTGCATTGGAAGGACATTGAAGTTAACTGTACTAGATTGCTGAAAGTCACCCAGGTTTCTCTAGTGTAGGGATTCTCAAATGTTTTCACATCGTGCAGCATAAATAAAGAATTGTATTAGGAACATATGTCTCTCCAATTTACAACTGTGTAGATCTCCTTCCAATTTGTTGACAAATAACATCACTATGGCAACTATAGCAATGTATTTTTTTGGAAAAATATTAGGAAAGAATTTATAGGTTTGGTGATTTAACAACTGGAGATAGGTTAGGGATGCCAGCCAACACTGTGTGACCATCCACTTCTCTGCAGATCACCACCAGTTTCTGCTTTAATGGATGATGTTGGAGTGAGAAGTAGGTATGTGTGATGAATATATTAGGTTGCCATAATTGGATGATATATGGGTGTAATTACCAGTATCTTGATCGTCATCCCAAGCTCTGTTAGCCAGTTGATTTTTAAGGTGAGGGTGAGAGGACAAAATGGGTTAACCCTCTGAATACATACTAATTTATGGATCAAGCTGCCATAAAAGGGAGCTTCTTTTCTTCTCTGTATAATGAGCACCAACCTGATTAGTAGTTCTGCTATCCATAAGGACTCAGTGAGTTCATTTAGTCAAAATGAGTTTTAATAGCTCTGTCACGTAGGAGCAGCTCTTTGAGAATAGTTCAGTGGCTCTCAAAGGGTGGGCCAAATGCTTGGGGCTCACTCCCCCTACCAGCGGGAGCCTGCACTGGTGCTCCAGCCCCTCAGCCCTCCCTCCGCTCCTTGCAAACAGAGTCTGCTTCTATGGGGCTGAAGCAGCCTCTGTCGATGGTGGGCCTACGTCCCCTGCAGACGAGGCTTAAAAAACAACTAATAGTCTGCAGCACTTTTAGAGATAACAAAAAATGTAGAGCAGCTGGTCTCCAACCTTTTTAAGCATGAGATCACTTTTTGCATTTAAGTGCAATCCAAGATTTACCTCAAACCCAAATACCCTTGCTCTGTCTCCTTTGTGCCCCTTCTCCAAGGCCCTGCCCCTGCTCACTGCATTCTCTCTCCCCCACCCTCCCTCACTTTCACCAGGCAGGGGCAGCGGGTTGGGGTGCAGGCTCTGGTCTTGGATAAAGGATTTGGAGTGTGAGAGGGGCTCTGAGCTGATCCTGGGGCAGGTAGTTGGGGTACTAGAGGAGGTTTTAGGTGGAGGCTGTGGGCGGGCGTTTGGATGCAGGGGTGCTTAGGACTAGGGCGGAGGCTTGGAGTTTAGGAGGGGGTTCATGACTGGGGTCGGGTTTCGGGATATGGGCACCAGCTGGGCACTCCTTACCTCAGGTGGCTCTTGGTGGGTGGTGCAATGTGGCTAAGGCAGGCTCACCCCTGTCCTTACCGTGTACCACTCCCAAAAGCAACCAGCAAATTTCATGCCAAATCCTGCTGTGACCCCTCTCTGCTCTGTAGAGATAGAATACAGGGTGGGAGAGGGAGCACCATGACATTAGTGCCCCCTCCTCTGCTTCCCCTGCCCTGCACAGAAAGCAGAGTCTCTTGAGGGGACTGCTCCAAGACAAAGGGTAGGAGTTGCGCAGCAATGAGGGGAAAGGCAGTTGAAGTGGTGGGCCTGGTAACCTCTTGACCAAACCAGTTAAGGACAACCTTTCAGAGGCTCCAAGATCTACTGGTTTTATTTGCATGATCCCGGGTTTTATTTGCATGTTCCCGTCCGGTCGCCATTTTTAAATGCCACTAGTATGGACTAACTGCCCGCGGCTACACATGGCAGTTAAAAGGTAATTCGGACTAAGGACTTAGTTCGAATTACCGTTTAACTGCCGCGTGTAGCCGCGGGCAGTTAGTCCGGACTAGTGGCATTTAAAAATGGTGACCGGACGGGAACATGCAAATAAAGCCTGGGATATTTAAATCCCGGGCTTCATTTGCAAGTTCAAATGCCTACATTAGCCTCCCTAGTTCGAACTAGGGGGGCTAGTGTAGACATACCCTTAGTTATTTAAGTTTTTTCTATTACAGACTAACACGGCTACCCCTCTGAAACTGTGGGCAAGGTCTGCTCCAGCCTGACCAGAGAAGTCACTGCCTGCGGAGAAGGAGGCAGAGATGGGCTGTTCTGACTGGCTGAAGCAGCCCCTGCCTCTGGTGAAAGGGTCTGCTCCCCCTTTAATGGGATAACCAATTAAATGGGATTTTACATCCCTATTATTAAAATAATTTTAAAAAACAGCTTTGGAGCAGTTTTGTAAAAGTAAGATGACCTTTTACACTGTTCACCCAGATTAGCAACTGGCTGACAGTTCTGTAATCTTTTACTTTGTTTTGTGAGGACCTTTGTTACAGTGAGGAAATGTGAACATGAGATGTGTGAATGTGTAAGGTAGGGATGTTTAAGTATCAATTAATTCATATCAGACAATATGAATTCTTATCGGCTACTCGATTATTCTATAGAGCCTAGGAGCAGGGCTGGCAGCCAGTGCTCTCTGGCTCCACTCCTGAGGAACCCTCTGCCACTCTGTGCTGCTGAGGCAGCTGCGTGGGGTGCCAAGCAGGAACTGATCCGTGAAGGGAGCCAGTGTAAAAACCAGCTCCCCTTGTGGATTGGCTGCCTGTTGCCCCGTGCTGCTATCTGTGATAGAGGCAGCAGCTCAGGGTGACAGCAGTCCCTTTCTGGGGTTGGGACTGAGCTCCTGGATTTCTAGCGCGAGCTAGAACTGAGCTGGACTGCCTGCTTGCCTGCCTTCTAATACTCTTGAACTGCAGAGTTACAGTGAGGGTAGGTCCCGGACCCAGTGTGAGCCAGGACGAAGCCAGGCTGCTGGCCAGCTTGCTAAAAATTTACTGGCAAGGGGGAGAAGGGAGAGGTTAATCTATAAGCTTTTGCTAATTGGTTATTACCCCTTTTTTTCTTGGGCTGATCCCAAGGAGACAGGAAATAAAGACCAGACTGCTGTAATGCCTCTTAACATAAGATAGTTGATCCAGAAGACCCAAACTGGGTTCTCCAAACTGCATTTCCTGAGTGCAGGAGCTAAAAGAGGAGGCAGCTAGGGACGTTCTATAGACCAAACAAACTTAAGAGGAGAACCTTTTTATTTTTAAACATTTTTCTCTTTTGAATTCTTTTCTTAGATAATTGTGGGGTTGTTTGCAATTATTTGTGTGTATATGTGTTTTAAGTAATAGCACATGCTGATAAATCCATGTTAGGAAGTTGTAACATGATTAATCCCAGCCTAAATCCTACCTCATGACAACTTGTGACATCCTGGTCTGAAATGAGTTAATACAAACCACTTGGCCTAACAGCAATCTGAACTGCTGATCACCTTTCATTGAAAGTAGAAGGATTAGCCATGGTGAGGAAACAGAGTAAATCATTTAGGTTTTGCTGTCACAAAGGACAAACTAGTATGTTTTAGGGTTAAAGAGAGATGCTCTTCTTCCTTACGAGAATGTAAGGGGTTGTATGTATCAGGATTCATTCTGGGTATCAGTTTCGAAGATTTTTGTCATTGCATAACCTTTTCTAGGCCTCAGTAAGCGAGTGTTTAAATACATTTTGCTGCTGAATTATGTTTTCTAAATGCTTTTTTTTTTCCTTTCGCTTAGCCGAGCAAAAGATGTAACAATGGCAGCGAAGGCACCAGTTAATTTCTTCTCCTCAAGATCCCCGGTCTTTGATCTTTTTCGGGGGCAGCTGGACTATGCAGATCATATTCGCCAAGATTCTGAAGTTGTATTGTATTTTTTCTATGCTCCATGGTGTGGACAGTCTATTGCTGCAAGGGAAGAAATTGAACAAGTATCAAGAAGATTGGCAGACCAGGTAATTCCGGTTAAGATGTTGTTTTAAAAATGGCTTAAATGGCCTTGGTTGATTTCCAAACTCTGTCTTTCTCTGAGAATAGATAGTTCCCATGGGAAGTCATTGAGACTTGGATGCTCGCATGTAGCTTGTCCTCTTAATTTTTAAATTAAATGCTGAAAATCCATGGCTCCTGGATGTGTTATTCTCACATCTAAAAGGGAAATTTGTGAACTGCAATTAGTAGAATTTTCTCATAATTCTTCAGAGAGGGACAGGGTTGCCTTTGTGTAGAAGTGACAGCTTCAAACTTACAAATACTTGACTCCTCGGGGACACATTGAAGTAATAGACATTTATGTGGAGGCTCCTCTGTCTTTACTCCGCTGCCCTGCTCTTGGACATTTCATGCCACACATTAGGAGATAAGTGTAAATTACTGTATGCTTTGTCTTCAGTAGTACTTTTGTCAGCAAAACTTTTGTTGGTTCGGGTGTGAGAACACCCCCCTCCAATCAACATAAGTTTCACTAACAAAAGTGGACAGTATGCTATTAGTAAGAAACTCGCTACAATGTATATATTTGAGTGTATCTTCCCAATCAGTGAGTGGGGACTAACAGATGCAATTATTGTTGGGGCACATCTTCCCTTGCTGTGCTGGAGATCCACATTCTGGCATCCAATTTAGCGGGTCTATCAGACCTTCTAAATTGAACGCTGAGGGCAACTCTGGCCTGTGTTTGTACTCCTTGCAGTCGTGAGGATTAAGGGAAGCTGACAGGAGCATTTGCTCCCATTGGCCACTGCAGTGGAGATGGGCACCAAACTTGACTTTAGGGTAAGTCTCCAGCTACATATTCTATTCTACATATTCTATGTAGCTGGAGTTGCATACCTTAAGCCCACCTCCCTGGCCTTAGTTGCATATTTTTTCTATACTTTGTTTGGAGAGTAGCCCATTTTGCATATTCATTTTAGACACCAGTTGTGTATGGCACTATGTTAATCTTTGCAAATATTGGATTTGCCTCTATAATTGTGTCAAATAACCTGACTCTTTAAAAGAAGTAGAAAACTAGAGCACAGCCTTCTCCAGAAAGAAACAAGAAATCATATACCACAAATTATATACCACATCCATCTTGGATTATGGCAGCTATGTTTGTAATATTAATTTGATATAGTTTATTAATCATCTTTATTACAGTATAGTGCCTAAAGACCAGTCAAGAATGGGGTAACGTACACACAGAATGAACAGTTTTTGCCCTGAAGAACTTACCATCTAAAGAGACAAAAGGCAGAGACAGGATGGGAGAAGGGATGTAATAATGAACAGTGTGAACCAAGTGATGGCACTAAATGTTATTTCAGTCCCTTGATTTTGCGTATGGGTGTGTGGAGGAGGTGTTAGTTAAGAGAGAACAAAATAAATTAAAAGAAAAGTGAAGTGAGAAGGGACGCTGAGAGAAAAGGAGGAGGAGTTAAGGGAGCAGAGAACAGGGTAAGAGGCAGTTGTAGAGTGAAGCTGAGGTGAAGGGACTTCGGTGGGCAGTGGAGATTGACTCCAACACTCTATCAGCACAGGCTAGAGAAAGTCATGGTTATATGTTTTGTACCTTTGGTCTGTTCTGCAGGTTCTGTTTGTGGCAATTAACTGCTGGTGGAACCAAGGGAAGTGCAGGAAACAGAAACACTTCTTCTATTTTCCTGTGATATATTTGTACCATCGGAGGTAAGAGTTTCACAAATGTGATTTGTCTGCATTTAACACTCTATCAGCACAGGCTAGAGAAAGTCATGGTTATATGTTTTGTACCTTTGGTCTGTTCTGCAGGTTCTGTTTGTGGCAATTAACTGCTGGTGGAACCAAGGGAAGTGCAGGAAACAGAAACACTTCTTCTATTTTCCTGTGATATATTTGTACCATCGGAGGTAAGAGTTTCACAAATGTGATTTGTCTGCATTTTAGATGTCCGATAGACAGAACATCATA